AGTTAGGATCAAAGCAGCTATCCGAACACTGCTTTACTCCTGATAGTCCATAAGTTAGGACAGGCATACTTATGACACAAAACATGGCAAGGATTAACCTACTAGAAATCTTGTAAAACATCCCATCTCAACAATGACGATATAGACTTTAAAGGCCATACATTATGGATTTATGGATGAGTATACCTGTACAGGCACCACTTTCCACAGAGCAGGATCCAACATGTAAAATATGCCCCTGTAATGAAAATAATGAAATAAAAAAATTACTTACCCACTCACAGTTGAACTGAGGTGTGTAGGATGACAATGGGCAAAACCCAGTATCCCAATGAGGTGACGGCAACATGATGAATAATGAGAGACAACAGCATGTAGTGTGGTCCACATGCCAGCCTGGATGATCTCCTCCAATGGCTGACAAATGTGGGCAGCCAGGGAGAGAGTGAGGAGACAGATCTGATGAAAGATATCTGGAAAATACATCAGAAATTGTGAGACAAGGAAAAACAAGCCAACCAAATAAATTGGTGAATCCAACCTGTAAGGGTGGCAGGGGAAATGCTTCAGGAAGAGAAAGGGTTCCAATGGAGAAAGAGGTGAGAATGGTATCCATGAAAGGAAGCCATGCAGGCAACATAGTGCTGAAGAACATGATCAGGACAGAGAAGACAATCCAGCTCAGAGTAGGAATACAAATGGGAAATGGAAATGAGGGAAAAATATGGGAATGTACGACAAGGTGGACAAAGTAGCCGAAAGGAACAAAACAAAAGGATAGGGAAAAATCGAAGGTATTGGATAAGGCTACCCAATAACCAACAATGGTATGCACAGAAGAACCATTGTCAAACAGCCAGGAAAAGAATTATGAGACATGAAGAACACTAGAACAGGAAGGGAGGTAACTAAGGAGCAGAGACTGGTGGCAAAAAAAATGCACCATTTTCTGTGATGCACCAATAAGGATGAAAGACAAACTAAATGGGGAAAATAGGATGTTATATGTGTGTGAAGAATCCAGATTGCTTCGTGAGGGACTGGACAAATGTTATGCCTGAAACCAGATTGTAGTGATAGTAAGATGACACGTAGATGACTTAGGTTGACAAAGCAGGGAGTGTAAATGGTAATGGAGGTGATCACTCAAGTGGGGTAAAGACTGGAAAACAAGGTTGAGCAGGCAAGAAAGATGCAATGAGGACTCAACACAGAGTGATTTGGATAATGGGTAAAATTCAGCAATGGAGATGGACAGAAGGATCAGCATGTGGAACAAGTGACCATATAAGGATAGCCTGGAATTGAGGTGGATGGCAAATGCATCTAGAACTAGAGTACCTCACTGGGTACACAACCACCAATACACCTGAGGATCTGAGGACCATTCAGTGAGGGAATATTGTCATGCCAAGACAATCAATCTGCAATGAGATTCAGAGTACCTGGGACATGGCATGCTAATAAGTGTGTGTGGTGTGAATGGGCCCAGAATAGGAGTTCTAAAATTTGAAAACAAAGTAAATGTGAAAAGTAAGTTGTCAGAATGGATTATGACCAATTTCACTCGTACTAAAGGTAGCATTTGATCCAATGTTCAACAAACGGCAAGAAGCTCCAGGATATTGATGAGCAGAGCCAACTTGACCAAAGACCAATGACTCACAATTTCCTGGGAATCTATAATCACTCTTCAACTTGACAGAGAAGTGTTTGTAAATTGATGCAACTCTGGATGGGGAGGAGAAAGAGGAATGCCTGCTGTGTTGTTCTCCCTTTTTTTATCCACCAAGCTAAATCAACTTGTAGTGAGGGAGGGAGTAGGATAACTGAAACCAGAGCATCCCAAGCAAGGTTCCAGTGATTGTGCTACATATACTAAAGGGAGAGCATATGAGTACAACTCAAGAGAATAAGGGCTTCCATCACAGCCCAAGTCCCCAAAAAAGAAAGAAGTTCACATGCAGTAAGAGAAGAATAGGATTAAGCTTTGAGAACTAATAGCTCCATCAAATCTCAACTGAAGAGAAGAAGGCTGAGCTTGACTGAGATATGAGTTGAAGAACACACACATAAGTAGATAAGAAATTGGATCAGGATGAGAAAGGATTTGTCCAGCTTGACAACCAACCTACACAAGCCACCCCATGAAGAAGTAACTGTGTATGTAAGTGAGATGCTTGTTGGAATGAAACTAAATGCAGCCAGTCATCCATATAATGGTGGAACCACAGACCATGAGAAAGAATACACAGGGTGAGAGGCCAGACAAGACAGAAGACTGTGGAATTGATAAACTTCACCTTTAAGGACAAAATGAAGGTAACATCTGGATGCAAGGAATATTGGGGAGTGAAGGTAAGCATCCAGAACATCCATCTTTGGCATCAAAAGACCCAGAGTAAACACCCACCAAAGAGTGAGGAATGACTCCATGGTGAAACAAGAAAGGTCGATGAAATGGTTGAGACTGGAAAGATCTATGAGAGGATGCCAGTCTCTTGTCTTTCTAGGAACTATGAACAACCTGGAAGAGAACTCTAAAGAAGGGTGACTGACGAATTTGACAGCATCCTTGAGAAGAAGAAACTGAACTGCTTTGGAAATAAATTGGATCATGAGGAGAAGGGAATGAGATGTGGAGATAAGGGAGGTGGGGCAAGAAAGTGAAGAAAAAGTCCTTTAGATAACACTAGAATCACTGAAGGATCTGAGGTGAATTTGCTCCAAAGGTGCACAAACCTGGCCAAACATGTTCCAACTTTACAAGAACATATTGGATAACCACCAATATCATGGTGGCAGGGGACCTGGCAATGAGTAATTTGATGGGTAAAAGGGGACAGGCAAAGGGGTGGAAGGGGAGGATGGGAAACAGGAAGGGGACAGGTGAAAGCTGCAAAAGATGAGAGACCAAGAATGAAATGGAGGAGTGTTGATGAGCAGCCTCCATCCTGTACTCCAGAGTCAAGAAGGTCTCCAAAAACCATCCAGAATAAAAATGGAGCCATACAAAGTGCCTGTAAATAAGATGTGGGTAACCACACATTGGCTAAAAGTGCACCCCCATCTAGGAAATCTCAACAAAAGAAGAGGCAAGTTTGTAGGGAAAGGACCAAGGAAGACAAGTGCACCAACATGGAATACATAAGAGTAAGTATCCTCCAAAAATCCCTCAGGGGATTGGTGGATATCCTCAAATATGAGATGGAAGAAGGAGAGGTAATGAAGGAGGGTAGTTAAGGTCAAACAGAGAGGAAAAAATTGGGCTTGGGAAAATCTCACAGAAGTATCAGGGTTAAATCCCTACACATGAATCAAACACTCCAAAGACTGGGAGTCCAGAAAAAGAAAGTCCTAATGATGAAAGGTAAATGCATAGGAATCCAAGGTATGGGAGGGGGTGAAGCATGCAGACCCAGAACTTAACTGTGCTGTAAACTAATCAGCATGTATCATGATTTCTGTAGAGAGTGGGAAAACTAGATAATCCAAGGAAGGGGTGGAATTAAGGAGGAGAGAAAACTTAAGACACAGTGGATATAGAAAAAGTAACATACCTGTGACACTACATGCAGAAAATGTAGATGGTCTGGGAGCATCCACAGGTGGAATTTGGGAAGACACAGCAAAGGAAGGGGGTGGAAACAGGCTATCCAAATCCTGTCATTCTGTCCATGTTCACCAGGAAAATGAGTATCTGTTCTGGTATAAGAAGATACAGCAAGCCACATTATGGACCTGAACTCACATCATACGAAAACCAAAATCTCCTCAACATAAAACATGAAATCTTAACTTAACTAAACAGCCACAAACTGTAGGAATAGGGCACAATCATGTAGTGTGCTCATCTCAACTGAACAGTTGCCAGCTGCAGGAGGAGGATTCAGAATTTGGGAAACTGCAGGTTGAAGTGCAGTAGCAAGAGTAACAACAGAATGCGTAATTCAATCTGAGAGCGGAAACTGAGAAATAAACTTACAGTATTTAGTTTCGCTAAGAAAAAAAAGCAATAAAACTGTAAGAAACAAATATAGTTGTTTAACAAATCATGAAATAAAAAAACTGAAGCAAACCCAAATGAAAGTTATATACATCTGCAATCTATTATGCCAAATCAAGAAGTGAAGATTGAGCTCTATGGTATAGAGGGAACCAGCTTCATCAGAAGAGTGTGTTGCACTCCTACTGGTGGAAGGTTGTCACATGCTTGTTTACATGCTGCAGGACAGCTGTATCACGTGTAAACACGTAAGGATAGGTTGGAGTATCAAGGCTAGTGACAAGCAAAAACTGTGCATATAGAGGGCAGCACTGAACAAGAAAAGCTGTATGTGAGATAAGGTAAAGTATCATATCAAAACAATGGTTATTATCAAAAACTGTAAAGAGTTCCATTGTATGCACATACATACCTTTTGAGCAAAATAAAATACATTGCTAAACAATGTATTACATTTGATAATAGAAGAAAAGCAACAAACAACATACTTAATTACCAACTCAATGTAGAAAAACACTTTACCTGGGCTGTTTATATACATGTGAACTGGTTTCTTGTTACTTTCAGACTGTAAAAACAACAGCTGGGCTACAACCAAACTAGACAGCTCATCTGTAATCTTAAGAGAAAATATATACCCATTAAAATAAAAGAAATTTGTAAGTACTGATTAACAGAATAATGGGCCAATAATGATAAAGGCACATCCAGTTGAATATCGGTAAGTCTGAGATCATGTAAATTGAATTAAGTCAAGAATTTAAAACAAATTCAGCCATTAAAAATGTTTTATCAGTGACTGAGAAAATTTAGAAGCTTTAAAGAATAAATCTTAGCAGGTAATTCTTTAACAATTTTTTGGGCCTGATAGTTTTAGACAACAATAAAAAAGTAAGTAAGTCTAATTTTCATTTTGTAAGCTTACCACTTTTTAGTCTGAAAAGACTGTATATATCTTTGAAACCTACTCAAAAATGCAAATAATAGAAAATTGAAAAGTTAACGTTTTCCAAAATTGAAAATGCATTTACAATAATACTTGCCTCTGCTGACACTTATAACTATTTCTCAACTTCCAGAGTTTCAACTTTGCCCATCTAATCATTGGTCTAATTTTTTCTCGCTTCCTCCAGTCTTTTATACCCCACTCAGTTGCCCTTGGCAATATACTCTCCACCTACATCAATGTGCCCTTTATCCTGGTACTGTATATAAGCACCTCATTCAGATAATTTTATCAGTTTTGAGACACCATCCCAGTCTCTAACACCAACTCTAAGTGGGGAGGAAGGGCAGGAGAGTGTTAAGAGAGGTAATTATTATTAGAAATACATTTTCAATTTAAGAAAATGTTAACTTCCAAAACATACTTACCATCCGCTGACACTTATAGCTAAAATCCCACATTGAGAAAGTGGAGGGGCCAGTGAGGGCATTATCCATACAGAAAGAATCTGCACAGATCAGGTGTGTACAAAGATAAGAGTTGTACCCGAGCAGGAGAACCATACTACATCCAGAAGAGGTATGCTCTTCATCCAGAATTAGTTCCTATATCAACGGTGGAATAGATAGCTGTGGTTCCACAACTCAGGGTAGGAATTAAGGGGTCTTGGTCCCTATATCCAATGTTGGTGGCTAGGGCAGTTGGGCCGCAACATTATATATAGATATACTTTTGATTGGATCCCAACCTCTATCCATAGAGTGATGCATTCAGAATCACAATGAGAAAATAAGCAAAACTGAAGCAAACAAACTTTCTCCTCCACCTGAATAAGTCTGAAAGTCAACACCCCAGGCTCGAAATGACGGGATCGTGTATGCCATACTCAACAAAAAAAATAGAACTCATCCAGTCTGGAATTATAAACATTCATTCTCACTCCCCAACCAAGTGAGCAAGGTGCATTCCACTTGCCTCCAGGATTATGGAAAGGACATGGAACACTGTGCTCAACCAAGAACCCAGGATGTGACCACTCTGCATTCAGAATTATGAGGAGATAGTGGATCTCTTTCCATGAACAATATACTAAACAGATATTGATCAAAAGAAAGGGCCATGCATGTGACAACCGGATAGCTTAGCATCAAAAAATACTCACCCCTCTATATTGTTGTCAAAACAGCCACAGGGGTAGTCGAAAACCTTCAGAAGATGAAACTGCAGATCATGTAAAGAATTTAAGAGAAAAGTATTGGGAGAAGGCAACATATCAGCCCGTACGATGTCTTTTAGCAGGTAATTAAAACAGCAGCTAAAGACATAGAAATGTGATGAATCTGGTGAGATGGGACTCTCATAAGTTTCCTTGCCTGTAAAGAAAAGTCCAGAATAAGCAATATAGATCAATTTAAAAAGCCACCTTGTCAAAATAATTGTGGATAAACCTCAGGAAACTGAAGGATCCCAATGAATTAAGAGTCAAGTTCCATCACCTCAGAAGGAGTTAGTGCAAGCCATATAATGCCTCAGGGCATTAACAGGACATAGCAACCAGTGTGCAAATAGTTGTACAGGTGAGAAATAGCCAGCAAAAGAATTGGTGAGAAGGATTTTTTTCCCTTCCCTGGCTACCAGATACTTAGAAAAAAAGGACCTATCAGGGTATAGCAGAACAGAAGAGGAATGATAAAGAGACCTGTACATATGGAGTGCAAACAAATCCGACCTATGACATCCACATGTCAGAAGCAACAAAAAACTTCTATAAAGGGAAAGATGATACATGGTACATGAGGCTAAAGGCTCAAATGGATGTTGAGACAAAGCATGTAATCTATATTCTATTAAAACTGTGAGATTGTTTGTTTGCTTGTCTGTAATTAAATACAGCAAAAACAGCGCACAATAGCGCCATATTTGTAATGAAATGAGAATAGAAACAAAATAAAACAAGTTTCATTAAAATCGAGCCACGGGTTACCGAGTTAGCCCAGTTTTTCAGGTAACTTTTATGAAAATGTCTAGATGAATTTAGGTACACTAGATGGCGCCACATATCAGCTTATCTATCTGTATATTCGTTTTCTACCTGGTGAATCACTTTAAAATATCTTCTATACAACAATATATACACAACAGAAATTAAACGATGAGATGAAAATGTGTTACAACGGTGTATAGAAAGAACAACAATAAAATGGACCTACAATATTATTGACTATTTGCAAATAGTAACTATGGAGATGAGGTAATAAAATAAAAATCAAGTTGAAAACAACAAAATATTCTAAACGAAAACCTCTTGCCGAGCATTGGCTATTATGTTATTTCCCTGTCAATGTTCCCATCTTCATTAAAAGGCATAAGATGACAAAAACAAGATGTTGAAGAATCTATCTATATACTACTAAAACTCGGATATTGCTTGTTTGCTTATTTTCTCAGTCAAAAAATCATTCACACTACCGTTTACGCTCTTTATGAAACTTCATCAGACCACGGGTTACTGAGTTAGCGTCGTTTTTCGGGTCACTTTTATGAAAATTTCTAGCATGAGTAATTTTACATCACACTACTGTTCACACTCTTTATGAAACTTCTTCGTTCAAATATATTTCTCTGTCAATGTTCCCATCTTCATTAAAAGGCGTAAGATGACAAAACAAGATCTTGAAGAATTTCTCAATAATGTGCCTTGGTTATGGTAAGTAATTC